CGGAAGCGGCCGCGTTATTATCCGATGGTTGTACATTCTTCCGAACCACAATTCTTCACTCACTATAAAGAAATATTAAAAAAGATTTGATAAAGATCTCTGTTTCAACTGCAAAGCTGGTGATTACTATATCAGTAATTGTAAGAAGCTGAAGGAAGAGAAGAAACTGAGAAGATATCTTCTCAAAGTTGACTTCTCTTCTGACAAATATATTCACAGAAGATAAAGAAGAGAAAGAAAAGAATTGATAATTCTCACATCTTTAAGTTCATGTTACAATCACAATGTATACTCTGAATAAGAAGATATCAGTGAGATATCTACTTAACTTTAGAATAGATGTTAACTTCATATTCTATTCCTTTTCTTTGATGAAGAATTGAAAGAAAGATAAATTTCATCAGGCCATGTAAAATTTACTGATGAAACAAAATACTATCATTTTGACATAATTCAAGCAAAGTGTGTGATCACAGACTTAGAAGAAATCTTCAAGAAGAGCAGTCTGCTTCTTTATACAGTTAATATCATAGATGAGAACATCATTCTAAATCTTCTGTGATTGAGAGAAAACAATTCTCTCATTGACTGAGTCACTCAGAGGTGATGATATCATCTCACTGATGAAGAGACAGTAATAGAGAAATCTGAAGAGTTTCATCAGAAGAATCTTGAGAAAAAGATTAAGTTGATATACTGCATAGCAGGTGATTGAGACTTAGAAATAGATGAAGAAGCCATCACTCTCACTGCAAGATTAGCAGCAGTATCTGTCATTGAAGACAGATGTACATAATGTCTCTTTACAGATTTTAAGAATATCTTTTCAGAAAGAGAAGCAGTGAAGTTTCCTGATATCAAGATACAATACAAGATTTACCTTGAAGACAGTGTAACAGCACTGTACAGACTTCTTTACAACTTATCTATAAAGAAATTGAATGTTCTGCATAAATATCTTGAAGAAGCACAATTAAAGAACTGAATATATTCATCAAAGAGTTCAGCAGAAGCATCTATACTCTTTGTACTTAAGAAGAATAGTAGGCTACATCTATGTGTAGACTACAGAGGCCTTAACAAGGTGATAGTTAAGAATTGCTATTCATTATCATTGATTGATAAGATGATTGATCAATTATCTGAAGCAAAGATATTCTCAAAGATTGATATACAGAATGCCTATCATAGAATTAGAGTTAATGAAGATAATGTTTGAAAAATGACTTTTTATATCAAGTACAGCAATTTTGAATATCTTGTTTTACCTTTTAATCTCTGTAATGCTCCAGCCATCTTTTAGATCTATATAAATGAGACACTGTAGGGCCTTATCAATGTCTCCTGCATAGTATACCTGGACAACATTTTAATCTTCTCAAAAACAGAGAAAGAACATAATATTCATGTTTGAGAAGTGTTAAGTCACTTGAGACAGTATCAACTCTATATAAACACTGAAAAATGCTCATTCTATATGCAGGAGATTGATTTCTTAGATTATGTTATTGAGATGAATGGCATTTCAATGAACAGAAGTCAGATCTTCATTATTGAGAACTGGCCAGCACTGCAAATATACTGTAAGATACAGGTATTTCTAGAATTTGCAAATTTCTACAGATGATTCATCTATGTATATTCACAGATTACTGCCTCTCTTACAGATCTGTTGAAGAGAAGTGTAAAAGACAGAAAAACAGAACTGTTTATTCTCACTCAAGACATTATACAGGCATTTACAGAATTGAAACAAGCTTTCACAGATATCACAATACTGAATCACTTTAATTCTGACTTACTCAGTCAGTGTGAGACTGACATATTCAGAAATGAGATCTGTGAAATCTTTTCACAGTTGACATCAGAGATCTTTCAATATTGAAAGAATCAGAGAATAATCACTTCTGAAGAAACAGACAATGAATTGTCTGTGAGAGAAGGCTTTTTCACAGAGTCTATAAGACACTGTGAATGAAGATCAGTGATCTTCTTCTTCAAGAAGTTATCACTCATATAGAGAAGGTATGATACTCATGATCAGAAGATGTTAACAATTGTCAAATTCTTTAAGATCTAGTGATATTATCTTCAGAATAGTAAGTACTCAGTGTAAGTTCTCACTGATCATACAAATCTGCATTACTTCTTGACAATAAAGAGCTTGACAGAACATTAAGCCAGGTGAATGAAGCTGCTTTCAGAGTATGATTTCTATATCTGATACTGTTCAGGTCAGCTTAACCTCACTGACACACTGTCTAGACAGCTCAATTATAATATTATTAATATGAAGAAGAATTCTATAAAAGAACCTCTGTCATCACTGCAGAAGAAGCTGGCTGCAGAGAATTAAGATTCTCTAAAGCTTGAGAACAGTGTCAGAGAGACAGCTGCATAACTCAGTATAGAAGATAAAAGAGAACTCAGATTCTCACAGAGAACTGACACTGAAGATCATGAGCTTCTCATATCATATCTTACAATTATTGAATTGATAAAGAATGAAATGATCTACAATCTTTCAACTCAACTACTTTTGAAATTCATTGATAAAGTATAGAAGAGAAATGTCTCTACTGCAGCTTGAATTCAGAAGTTGAAGAAGAAAGAGTTCAGTTTGAACTTGAAAGAGACAGACTCTGAGCAGAGTGATACTGCTAAGAAATCAAGTCACTGATAACTAGAAGAATATGAACTTCTACTGCTGAATGATTCAGTCTTCATTTCTCATAGCAGGGCAATGTGTCAGAAGTTATTAAGAATTCATCATAATAATTCTCATATGAAGCACTTTGAGTTAGAGAAGACTGAGAAGCTTCTAAAATATAAATATATTTGAAACAAGCTCTGAACAGATGTCAAAGAGTATATTGAAACTTATAATATCTATCAAAGAATAAAGGTCTCACAGTATAAGTAATACAGTGAGTTGATATCACTGTCTGTTTCAAAGAGCTCATGACAGAATCTATTAATGAATTTCATAATTAATCTACTGAAGTTAACAAGAGTCAAAGAATATGACTCAATTTTGATCATTGTTGACTGCTTCACAAAGATAACTAGATATATCTCTATTTATAAAAAGATTAAAGCCCCTGAATTGACTGACCTGTTTTTAAATATCATTATTCATGATCACAGTGCTCTGAAATTGTTGATAACAGATCAAGAATCCCTCTTCATCAGCAAATACTGATCAGCTTTTTACTATTATCTTATAATAAGATGTCTTCTCAGTACTGCATTTCATCTGCAGACTGATGATCAGACTGAACATTAGAATCAGACACTAGAACAGCATCTTCAAGTGTTCTATTTATATTATCAGAATGATTGATTTAAACATCTTCTAATTATTAAATTCATATATAACAATACAAAGAATACAATCTTAAAGGTATCTTCTTTCTATACTTGTTATGAATATAATTCTTCATTACTCAGTGACATCACAGACAATGTTTCAAAGAAAGAGATAGACAGTCAGAATATCAGATAGATACAGAGAACAGAGTATTTCTCAGTATCAGAAGTAAAAGTGAGATTGAAACTTTTAAACAAAGTTCATAAGAAGACAGTAAAAAGTATTCATTACACTTAGAAGTGATAGATGAAATACTATAATTAAAAACATCTTCTGATGAAGTTCTTAATAGAGAATCAAGTGCTACTTTCAGTAAAGAATATCAAGATAACAAGACTGTGTAAGAAGCTCAGTGAGTGATAGCTAGAATCTTTCTCAGTAATAAGAGTAATGAGTAAGCAGATATATGAGTTAAAATTACTCACAGAATTGAAATCAATTCATTCTGTTTTTCATATTTTCTATTTGAAGTTCTATAAGTAATATCTCAGAGTGAAGCTGTCTCAGCTGAATAGTATTAAGATTAAGAGTGATACTGAATATCTTATGAAGAAAATATTAAATAAGTGAACATATTACAGTAAGCTTCAATATCTCATTAAATGAGAAGATTATTCATTATCAGAGAATTCATGAAAACTGCTTGAGCATTTAAAAAATGCTGAGAAAGAGATTACAAGCTATGAGACAGCTAGTAGAGACTGTCTCATTACATATCAGAGACATTGAATAAGAAATGCTGCTTAAGACTTCTTATTTTTTTTAAAGAGTTTTTTAGAGATAATTTCATAGTGATGAGTCAGTGTCTTATAGACTCTGTAACACTCTTCTTCTATTTTCTCTCAAAGAATTTTTTAGAAGTTTAATGAGATTACACAAGTGTAAAATTCCTGAAGTGATTAGAGAAAAGAGATATTGAAAATTAATAAAAAGATTAATATTATCAATTCACAGATCACTGCTATTTTAATAGAGTCACAGCTCACTGAAAAAGTAAAAAGAGAAATCAGAGTCTACTCATTAATAATCACACTTTTATTAAACTTATTCTTCACTGTTGAAGTCTTCAGCACTGATATCTTTGTCTACTGAGAAGTTAGTGCTGCAGTACTGCAGAAGAGTATAAGAAATATATAAAATATTAACTTATTAACTTACAAAGTATCTCAGTCATCTGCTTTAACTAAAGTAAGATTCTCTTTAATCAGCAATTGATCTCTGTGACACTTTTAACAGCAGTATCAGCTGACTTCTTCTTAGAGTCAGTCATTCTGAGATATTTTTTTATCTCAGAGATTCACACTTTCATCTTCTTTTACAGATAAGTAAGAGAGATCTTCTCAGTCTTGATAGAATCTGTCAATACTTGAAGCTTCAAGATTCTCACTCTGTACTGCTTGAGTATCTGAGCTTCTTGTCAGAGCTGATATGACATCTTCTTATAGAGTAGATAATACTTATAGAGAGATAGAAGTTATTATTACAGATATAATAAAAATAACAGAAGTGAGAGAAGAAGTAGATGTATAAAATCTCTCTCTTCTTCAGCTGCTTAGCACAGTGCAGATAAGTAGTAATATCAGTCAGAGACTGTACTGAAGCCTTCTCATAGAGAGAAGATAAAGAAATCATGAGATTCTGCAGACTCAACTCAGCAGTATCTCAAGCAGAGCTCAGACATGCTGTGAGAGAGAAACTACAGATTAGACTTCTCAGAGTCACTGTCTCTGAAATCAAGCTCTTTCTAGAGTTCTCTTCAAATGATCACACAGAGTCATACATCACTGTGTTGATTGAAGAGAGAGACAGCATCACAACAGCAGTGAGAGAGGCAGAGAAAGAACTGAATATGAATGAACTGATCAGCAGAAGAGATGACACCTCACTGCAAGGCACAGCAACTACTGCCGCGGCTGCAAGAGAAGCAGAAGAAGAAGAAGAAGATGTGAAAATGAGAGCAGTGCTTCTGTGACTCATTGACACTGCTGCCTCTGCCTTCAACCTGGCTTTCTTGACAGTCATGAAGGCCGCCGCTGCACCACAAAGACATTTATTCACTAGAAAATGTCAGAATAAGCCCTCTACTGTCCTTCAAGAATGATACTTCCATGCACTCACTATTACAGATGAGAGAGGGGGAGAAAAATGTGTCATGAGAGAGAAGAATCTTTTCAAAAAAATCCTATCACTACTGTTAGCTTTGTCTCTAAAACACACCACTTTTACAGAGAATTTCATATGTAGAATGAAATATATTGAAAGATCTGTAAGTCACTTGTTAATTACATTTTTCATATTTCAAATCAATATATAAGAAACTCACTTATCATGTGTTTAATTTGAACAAAGATGAGAAAAGAAAGATCTATGCAGTCAGCAGAAAAACTTATCTATTTCTTTGTATCACATGCAGTATATACACTGTCAATCAGTTGATAATCATTACTATATAACAAAGATAATTTCTAATTCAGTAATCTTGAGAACATAGAGACTATGCTCTTAAAGAGAAGAGTATTGTCATACTCTCAGCTATGTCAAGACTCTGTTGTGATTTCACATAGCTTATTACTTTTATATGAATGATTTCATCCTGTCTAAACCAGTTTTCAATCACTCTATGATATTATTTGAATGTATCATAGAAAGATCTGATTGATGAATATGAGAATCTTACTTTTATATAAGATCAGCAGATTACTCTTTCTTAGTAATGAGATATCACTGAGATATCACTTCAGCTATTCTTACTTATGAAATGAGAGAAGAGTATCTGCTCATTATCTATATAGAATAGCTAGATACTGACTTCTTATCAAAGAAGTCAGTGATTCATTTTTCTTCTACTGAAATATATACAAGAGTTACTGCATGCTTTATACAATCTTCTTAGTATACTAAGTATTATATCTGTGATATTCTTGCAATAATCTTGTAGCCTATGAGCTCACTATTCAAGCAAGATAGTCAAGCTCACTTATACAGCTTCTCAAACAACTACTTCTACATGACACCGCTGACTAGTCATCACTTCAGTTCCGCCACGTTACAGATAAGTTCTCATGTACTCATAAAATTCAGATAATCAAGACAATGTGAATGTCATGAATTTGTGATAAGAGTTAGTCTGAACAGATGAGCTCTCTCTTCACATCTTAATTATTTCCAGGCTGAATACTTCAGTATAACTAAGAGAGCAGACACAGCTTTATAAGAAGTATCTGATCACATGCACAGATAGTAAGTTCTCAAGACTCTGCTACAACTATACACACTCTGATGTTCAGCTTCTCTGAAGTCTGTGCATTTCTGACAGTCTTTATATTAAATGCAACAATTGTCTGTACTGTGAGTATAATGCTCTCTGCTTCTTTGAAGGGAAAAATTGATAGTTGTAAGAAGATTGAGTGTCACAGATATTAAGAATGTTAGTGTGAATTTTCTTTATTTTTTCTTTATTAGTCTCTAAATTATGTTCACAGCTCTGTTTATTTTCTGTTTTTTTTTTAGCTTTAATAAGAATATGATTTCTTCTTTTCTTATGTACATCACAGACTGTTCATTTCAGTAGAAACTTATTATCTTGTAGACTAGAATTTGCAAATGACAGTGTTAATGTCTTTATTATAATCAGGTTCTTAGTGAAGACTGCATCATTCTGACTTATCAGAATTTACAGTATGAAAGTTATGTCTCAGCTTCTGCAGATATCTTATCTGCTCAGATGATTCTCAAGTGAACTCATTTATCTTATCAGAATATTCTTATCACTGAACCTTGAATCAGAGCTTATAATCTCACTTCTCTGAGTCAATAATTTCTTTAATCTGATATTCTCTTTCACTCTCTAGTGCTTCATGAACAGAGTGATGAGTCACAGAATTCTCTTCTGAGAATTTCTTATATTCACAGAGTAAAGAGACATGAAAAACATTATATATTTATAACTCAGATAACAGTTTCAATCTGTAGAACTGTAAGCTAACTTTCTTCATAATTTTATAAGACTCTGTCTGTAAGAGATTCAGCTTCTTACTAGATCTTTACATGATAATATTTTCTAGACTCAGTCAGACTCTATCATCTTTCTTGAAACTCTTTATAATATACTTAGAGTCATAGTATCTCTTCTAATACTCTTGAGTCTTTCTCAAGAATTTACAGACTTTCTCTCAAATCTTCTGAATTCTCTCAGTCTGTTCACAGATATTATCACACTCTATAGTGTACTCTCACAGGTTTATCAAGATTATTCATGAATAAGTCTTAGTAAGCATCTCAAAGAGAGTTTTATCTGTGCTGACATGCTTTAAGTTATTATACATGAACTTTATAAGTGATAATCAATGCACTCAGTCATTCTAATTGTAATTGACAAAGTATCACAGATACTATTTCAATATACTTATCAGGTGTTCTATCTGATCATCTGTCTATTGATGAAAAGTCATGCTTAGATCTTATAAGATCTTTAGTATAGTTATCAGATCAGATCAGAACTCTTCTACAAAGATTGATTCTCTGTCTGAGACAATGTTCATAGACAACTCATGCAACTGAATCACATCACAGACAAAGATATAAGTTAAATTCTTTGACTTTAAGTTCTTGTAGATGAGTATAAATTGTGTTATCTTAATGAAGTAATTCACTATCATCAGCATACTGTCAAAGCAGATATTATATATGTTCTTGCTTTCAGAGAGGCTTACAAGAGCATTCATTTCTAGCTGTTCCCAAGGTTCTTATGAGATGAATAGAGGAGTAAGTTCTTCATATAATCTGAATCATACTACTCACAAACTCTGATAAATAGAATAAGAATTCACTATCTTCTTTATAAGTTCTTGCATCTTCAGTCAGAAGTATTTTCTTATAAGCAACTTATAAGTTCTAGTATCTGCAAAATGACCTGCTAGAGAAGAGTTATAATACCTTTTAATGAGTTCTATACATAGAAACTCATTCACAGGCACATAAATTCAGTTCTCTCTTTGCAAGAGATTATTTAAGTCTCTTTAATTCTTTATTTCTGCAGAATTGATCCCTGCTGTAAGCAGTTTCTGAATTTACTGAGTATATTCATTCTTCAGTTACAGTTCAGACAATCTGAATAGAAGATCTTATAAAGACTTATACTCTGTTTCTTCTTACATCAGGTCTTTCACAGCACTTCTTGAAGCCTGTAAACTCTTCAGATTATAGATACTCTCTTCAAGAATTCTCACAGAGATTCTTAAAGTGTTGACTCTCAGTGTTATAGAGAGTAGTTGTACAGACTTCTTTTCTCTCTCTTTTCTCTTCTCTTATAAGAGATTGAGAGACTCTTAAGTTAATCTCTTTATAACACTCAGTCTGAGCATTCTGTGAAGCTTTTCTGTCTTCTCTAGTCTCTCTGTGTCTGTCATTCTGGTCTTCTTAATATAGTCTGATCTGTAAGAGAGTCTGTTCACTGAGTTCTTAGTTTTCTTAATATATTCTATCTTGAATCAGAACTCACTCAGTCTCTGAGCTCAGTGAACCTGCTACTGCAAGAGTTTCTTAATTGAAGTAAACTGTTATAAGCTATCATAATCAGTTCTAATAGTAATCACTGTTATAAGACTCTCAAAGTAGTGATATCAGTGATGAAAGAATTTCACTATTATAAGAAGCTTCTGATTATAAATATTATAGTTAATCTCTGCAGATTGCATCTTCTATGAGAAAAAGATCACTGAAACTCAGTTCTCATTTAACTGTAGTTATGAGACTATTTCTGAAATTGTAAAGAAGAAGACATCTGTCTTTAATCTGATTAAAAGCAAGAGATTAAAGTGGAATAGTATCACTGTATTCATAAATACCTGTTTTAATCTTATAAAGATCTTATGAGCTTCTGAGATAAAAAAGTTCTTACAGCTCTTTCTTCTCAACAATCTTTTCATTCTCTATTTATAGAATGACTTCTTTTTATTTTCACTCTTCAGTATATCTGTAAGAGTCAAGAAGATTCTTATGAATACAAAGATAAATTATCTATAGAAATTCACAAAGCTCAGAAAGATCTGAATCTCATGAATACTAGTTAGCTCTGATTATAATAGAATAGTCTCAATCTGCAAAGATTTTATCTGAATATTATCTGCAGTGATTATATATTCTAGGAAATTAATCTGATAAGCACTGAAGTTGCACTTTGTAAGCTTAACATACAGTTCTGTCTCATCTAAGATCTTTAACACACTTCATACATACTCAGTGTGTTCTTTCTTCTTTGCAGAGTACATTATTACATCATTCAGATATATTATTATAAAGACATTCAGATATACATAAAGTGTTTTATTGATGAAAGACTGAAATACTGCAGAGATATTAGTCAGATTAAAAGACATTACTAGATATTTAAACAATCTCAGTGCAGTTCTAAAGACAGTCTTTCATTCATTCTCAGACTGTATTTACAGCTGTGTATATATATTAATCATATTCAGTTGTGTGAATATGACAGCTCTTATGAGATGATTGATCACATTCTCAATCAGAGATAGAAGATAACAGCTCTTTATTATCTTGAAGTTCAGATTACAGTAGTCTATACATAATCTGAGATCTTTATTCTTCTTCTTCATAAACATCACAGAGGCTCTCACAGAGGCCTATGAAGATTGAATAAAGTCATTCTTCAGATTCTTCTTTACATAGGTCTGTAAGACCTCTGTTTCATGATAAGAGAGCTTATAGATTAATTCTCAGAAGAGTTTCTATTCTTCTATTAAATTTATTATCAGATTCTTCTTACAGTGAGAAGAAAGCTCAGCTGTCTTAGCTGAGCTGAATATCTCTGTGAGATCTCAGTATTTCTCTGATATCTGAAGCTCAGTTTTCATGACTGCGAGATTCTCAGACACTTGTAAAGTTATTATATAGATGAGCTTGTCTTCTCTAATTAACTCTGCAGTATCAACTGATTCTATCTCTGTGAGTGAG